TCAACTTGCAACATAATTTATATATATTACAACTCTAAAATGACAATTCTAGCCTGAAAATAAAATGACATGATCTTTTGAGTCCACTATAAGATTAAAAAAACACTAGTACTCAATACTACCAACTAATTTAGATTCACACTGGCTCATGCCTTAATGGGGAAAAAGACTCTCCTAATGTGGTTTCTCTCATCTACAAAGCTCAAGACCTCACTTAAGGGGTGTTGACTCTCTTACTACGCGACCCAGCTTCCATTAGCTAAAATCAAGTGTCATTTGTTATTTATATCAAATTGCTATTTCTGCAATGCTATAATTGTGAAAACATGGTGTTTTAACCATTCTCATGTGTTACCAACCTGGAAATACTTTTGGAGTCCCATTCGTTCCAAAGCTTCGGTCATGCTTCTTCTATCTAGACTTGAAACAACAGCACAGGGGATACGAGCTGTATACACAGCTTCCAACCAGTCCTTAAGTCCTTCCACAGGTGTTTCAAGCTAGAGAAAAATATGGGCCAAAAAAATGTCAGGTTCTTGGGTCCATGAGGCCAAACAACATCATCAGGGAGGAAAAACTTACTTTGAGAAGATTATCATGATATAACTGTGAAAACCTCAACTTCAATTTGTCCAGTTTGTTTTCTGTCTCATCGCATAGAAAATGCTGCAAGTTTAGAAAAGTGAATCAGAAAATATAAGATGTGCTGAAAGCAAGATTGGAGAATTTTGATAATAAAACCTTCAGAAGAATATTCTAGTAATTGAATGCCACCAGATTCAACAGACCGTAACTCAGGACAAAAGATAATGTTTCCATTTCCTGTTCCCAGTTGTGGAAAATAAATTTTTTTTTTCGTTTTCTTTCATAAATTTTATAAGATATTAAGATCAGAAGCAAAGATGATTTATTAGGTGACGAGATAACATACACAGATAATTGAGACAACCATAAGATCAATGTCAGATTTCATAATGAGAAACCTGGAATTACATGCCCAACAGCAAGGCCCTGGACTAATTGACAAACTGGTCAAGATCAGATATTTTAAGCAACCCGAACCAATAAACAAGCACAAAATGAAATTTTGGGCAACCTGAAGCTCCTCCGCATTTTATTTGTTATTTTCAAGAAAGGTACTCATTGGGCTAAAGTCGGTCTCTAAAATTGGTTTGCTCACTGTCTTCAATAAAAGATTACATTTAATGGCTGTTTCCAGCCCAAATTAGCACGTTATCTCGAGAATTTTAGTGTATTTGTGATTTTCACAAAATGAAAATTCTTGGCACGAATGCAAAATAATAATAATATCTATCTATAATGGTACAACCACAATGAACTTCATTAGTTGCAGAGTCATAATAAACATGACCATGAATTAGTTGTCATAACTGCAATGTTCTTCCTTCTAATATCCCTTGCTTCTAGTTGGGGATAAAAAAAAATCCCTACTTTATTGACCCGAAGGGATCTGTAATTTATAATCAATAGAAATTGTGTGATTGATATGTTATGCGATACACGTTTAGATAAGCAAATGCATGTTTCCGAACCTTCTGCAACATGTGATCAGCACCAGAATATAGCAATGATCGTTCCACATCACCATCTACAGGAATATCCTTCCCTGCATCAGAATCAAAGTAAGACTCATAATAAGGCGCATGGACTTCACAGTTTATTTAGCCTGTTTAATATAAAAATGGCAATGTCATTTAGCTACTTTATTTTAAAGATGCAATAAAAGGGAACGATATTGCAAACAAGGGACCCGATCTCTTGTGGAGGAAGGAAAGAAAGCCAAGGAAATGGTGTTCCCTGTGTATCCTTAACATTTCTTTCCTTCAAATGTGGCAAAAAAGGAGGATATAGAAAATCATTTGATTAAGTTCTCTGAGTTTCCATTTTTATATACAAACACCAGCAGTAGAACAAGTAATAAAACCGTTAACATGGTAAAACTTTATGAAACTCTTTCTTTCCCTTTCTATCATATTACTATCCAAACAAAAGATTCTATTCTATCCCGCTCCTTATAGGCTCTTTTAATAATTTTTCTTTCCATGATGTTCAGTACATGGTCCATTAAAATCAACATAGTCAAGCTCTAAAGGCCATCTCATTATTTAGAGTCCCATGATAACAACTTAACATACCCTCTTCTGAAGCAAGCTGCTTCCACGCATTCCATCTAACAGCTCGAGTATCAGCCTGAAACACATCACATACAGTTATCATGGAGAAAATATAACTCAGTTGCATGATATCATGTGTGGTCGTGCTCTTCTTATCTCAAGAAATATAGTGATAGCCCCAAAAGCAGTTAATAACTGAGGCAATACAAGTCTCCGCAATTGCAACAAATACCACAATCTTTTTTCGTCACTTAAACATTTACAAAGCATGCCTAGCGTGATAAATCTCAAGAACATTCCTAAAAGCTTAAAACTAACCAGAACGTTGTCCCAAGAAAAGATAAGACCATAAGCTTCATCAGGCTTCATAGCATAGCGTATTCGCTGAAGAAATCCATCTTGCAACTTCTCATTCAAATAGTCCTGTTTTCAAAAGAAATAATAAAAATAATATTAAAATTATCCATTCATAGACTAAGCAATTCAACTTAATTTTAGGGGAACGGCAACCAAAGTTCATTACCACATCAACTTTTAATGGCCCATCAGCTCTAAAAGTCTCAAAGCCCTCCCCATATTCAGCTCCTATTGCCTGGCAGAGAACATAGAGAAGAATTATGGGAGTAAGAACCTTGGAGTCCTGGATTTCTAATAAGTTAACATCACTAAAGTCACTGTTCCAATAAGATTGCATAACGATGACCTAAGATAATAAGAGAAAGTCTCGATGATGACGCCGATTATACGCCGAGAAATAAAAAGAATTAGTAAAAACGAAAAAGATAAAGTAGGAATCCAAAACTCGACAACCAGCATATGAATCAAGAAACGGGAAGACTCCGTACCTCCTGCATGAAAAGTTTATTGGGGGTAAATGGCAACCCATTACCATTCACAGAGCCATCGCCTTCGGACCCAATAGAACACCGAACGACCAGACGATTCCTGTCCACACCCGATCGCTTCAATTTCTGGGAAAAAGCACATATATAAAAAATGATAAAATCACAATTAAATGAAGAAAAGAAACAAAGGCATGCATAAAGAGAAGAAATTGCGCACCAAAATGTTGAGCTGGAGGGTGGGAGAAGAAGGTTGAAGACGAGACGAGAGGGAGGGAGAAATCAAACGAGAAGAGGCTTTGAAATTGTGAAAAGCGACGCAGTCCATGGCAAGAAAGCACGGCGTTAATGGTGGGGAAGAAGCTGACAGCTGAACAAACAAGACGAAGAAGAAGCTAGAGCCTTTAGCTGCTGCTTAATTTTTCCGGCTCATTCGGTGCCAGTTTCAGAGTTTTTGATGACCAAGGCGTGTTGCCACTCACGTGACGAGCTCCCTCCTTCACTGTGCTTGTGGATAAGAATTTCTTATTCTTTTTATTTTTTTCCTCTTATCCCCTCTTTAGTAATATTAAATATAAATATAAATGCATGCATGACAGACTTTTGTGGTTTTTCAGTCTTATGCTAAAAAAAAACATAATGTCATCCCATACTTATTGGAAAATCAAAATTTTAAGTAATTGTAAATGGTTGTATGTATATGGGTATTATATGACCTCCAATCTTAAATGTAAGAACTAATTGACTAATTTAAGTAGATTAGGAAAATAAGTTAAGTTAGTTATTGTAATAAATAGATGTTGTCTTTTTTAAAATATTCTTACTAATCAAATTTATTGGTTAGAACTACTATTATTAAAAAAAACTATCTTGAGAAAAAATAAATAAACATGAGAGATAAAGTGATTTGGGATCTTATATTTAGGATCAAAATAAAAATCAAACAAGGTTTATATTAAGGCCGGAGGAGTGCATATGTTATATTATTATAATTAATTATAATAAATTTCACAAAAAATATGATAATACTAATATTAACTGCTGATAATAAATTAATAATGCATCCTTCAGTCATTCATTAGCAAAATTGATCAAATCAAATATGATAAATTTCAATTCATTATTTTAAACATTCAACAACACAAAAACAAAATTTAATATAATCATATTTTTGTTTTAACTCTTAAAGAGAAAACGAAAGGGTCTTAATTCTAAGATACTGATCGATAAGCCCATTAACTTTTTCTTTATAAATCAATATTACTAAATTTCATAAGGTGAGAAAGGATAACGTGGAAAACATAATGTGAGGAAGGACAAGCATGGTATAAATTATGATTAGGTTTTTTTTTATAACAAATATCCATTATATATGTTATTACTGTTTAATAGTGTGGCAAAAAAATTTGTTGAATTGTAATTTTTATTTTTTATTTTAAATCAGGATTAAAAAAAAAAACTAGTTGTCAATTCTTATCCATATGTATTGTTTAATTTTTCATTTCACTCCATTGCATACCTTATATTCTTATGCACCAAACATTGTCTTAATTCCGTGCACAAGCTTCCTTTGTTAATTTCAGGTTCACTAAAAACCATGAAAAACAGATGGAGTGGGGCGCAGATGAAGCCAAGTATTATGCATCGCTTTCACATAGAATATCAGTCAGTTGACCAGTTTCCATAAAAGATGTAATTCTATAGCAAAACGCAATCTCTACACTGACAAACAAAATAACGCTGGAGGAACATCTCACCAAAACATAAAACTCCTGTGTTAATCAGCATCTTCTCATTCCAAGATCACATTCACATGTCTGCAAGGAGCCTCAAACAAAAACTCCTCCAGCTTCAAAATGTAAAAGCTAGCTCCTCGCTGGAAAGAAAAGAGAAGTAGAGAAATTGTTGACTGTAACTGTACAATAACCAACAGACTCGCTTTTGAGAAACTTCCTGCAGCTGAACTTTCCAACTGTGCATATTTGATGATGGTCCCAATACACAGAATGTTTAACGTAAAATGTGTCTCCGAGTTTACTGAGATATCTCCTCGAAAATCCATGATCCCTTATTCCTAGTTCAAAGTAATAAAGTGGTCAGGTTCAGGAACCGGTGTGCTGGAAACAGTGACGACACTTAAACAGGAAGAATTCAGATTCAAAGAGAATGGAGGACGGCATATACCTCCAATGTAAAGCAGACATCTGAGTCTTCTGAGTAGTATTCGGAGTAATCTGATGGTTCGTCACAACAGAACTGGTAAAACTGTGAACAAACCCATAAACAACAGTTAGGACTGGAAAAATGAATAAACAAGTAGAAAATGAGAATCTAAAGTGTTCTAGCTTTGGAAACAGTCAAACCTTATCAATCTTCCCAACCATCGCTGAATCAGCCTCATCATCCACCTGAAACCAGCCACTTGTCATATATATGGTAGGAATCTCAAATTTTGAAAGAATAAGAAACATATGATTAGTAAATGGCTTTACTTAGTCCATTTCAGCTTGATATTCAGAAGGGAAAGTTTTACTGCTATCATTAGTAAATGAGAAGCTTGACTCCAAGTCATTGCCCTTCTCTCTCTCTGTTTTTCTTTTTATTGCAAGAAACAATGACGCATAATTCGGCGAACAAAAAGGGAGGAAATTAAAGCCTCTGTCAAACGAAGTTACAAAAACAATTGGCCAAGAAGTACTAAACAAAATGACTACTCGGTTACCTAGATTGATTGATGTACCAAGGCCCTTGCATAAGTGTCTCAAAAACCCATAAATGATATTTTTCCAAAACCTCATTTCAGAGTTTCGAAGGACCCTCATGTCACAAGATACAACAAGGTTTCAATGGGAGAAAGGGGAAAAAAACCTTGAATAATAACAGTGTCCATTTACCTGTATCATATCATTAGCCTCTTTATCCAAAGCTTGTTGGTATGCAGATTCTAGTTTTGCAGCTTGAAGAACATACGGTTTCCTTTCCTGATGAGAACGGAAATTAAGTCCCAAAAGAATTATATTTTCCAACTTACAAAACGAGAATGGACTGGGCTTACCTCCTTGGACATGTTTTTCCAGATCTCAAACCCTTTCCTATCAATTTCAATCATATTTCCACCATTGCAGGTCTTGAAAAAGCTCTCGCTGAAAAGGAAACCTCATTAGCATCCGACCACTATTACCATATTCCAAACAGAACTCCAATCAAACATTTAAGTTCACTAATAAAAACTTCAGGGGGTGAGATTCTACATAAACAAGCGGAAAGGTGATACTGGTTGGTTCTCAAAACGTTTATCTGTCGCATGTTGGTTCACATCTTCAGAACTTCTATTCATGGCATGTTGGTTCACATCTCCAGAACTTGTATTCGTCACATGTTGGCTCCATCTTCAGAGATTGTAATCGCCACATGTTGGTTCACATCTTCAGAACATTTATTCAATAGCTGGTTCACATTTGTTCCCCTAAACCTCTTTACGCCCTTCTTCGGTTCACATTCGTGCATGTCAGCCAACGCAATAGCCACCGATCTCCCACAGCCCTCACTGAAATGTACAAACATTGAAACTAAGAATGTGATAGGAACGGTGATCAATGATCCTTGAATTAGTTAATAAGATGAAGAAGAATCACGAAAAGGAAATAACAATGCTATATAGTATATACCACTTGTCAAAAGCGC